GTTGGGCACTTTGTTACTCACCTCGGGTGTCAGAGCAGGAGAAGAAGGCCCCGTTCCCATTGTCTGTCTCCAGAGAGAAGCTTGGTGTGATAGATGTTACCAGAGCATATGTAGCTGCAGATGGAATGCTACACAGGGGGCCTGGCAGAACCTGCTGTATTTAACTGTTGTGCCTATACATGCTCTTCTGTGTCTATGCATTTCACCATAAGTGTGTGTTTGGCATAGTGTAAGTAGTCAGAGCCCAGGCTGGAACCAGTAGTTGCCCTCTTCTGGGGTGGGTACACTCACCGGTCTCGCAGAAATGAAGACAGTCTAATCCAGCCAGGAACCCAGTGAGGCTGAGCCTTGTGTTCGTCTGGAGGAGAGGAGATTTGGATGTTGACCTGCTGAGATAAAAATGACTTTTGTATGTTTGGGGTGTGAGCCCCTACTCTGTTTTTAAATGGCAACGCTCAGGTGTCTGGGCTTCTGGGAAGGTGCAGGGTAACAACTCTCTGTCAAGAAAGATCTTTCCTGGTAGCACTACAAAAAGAGCATTGTTTTGGGGTGATTTTAGTGATGTTTGTGTGAGGACGTGTTGGGTAGCATTTCTACAGTACCTCCTGTGCAGTGGAAAGTGGTAGTAAATGCCAAATTCTGGAGCTGTAGGCTGGAGAGCAGGTGACCAAAACTCTGTATACCACAGGATGGCAGCATGCTGGAGTCTCTTCCGGAATGCTACCCAGGCATGTGCTGGGTGTTGCTTGCAGGTGTGTCAGCTGTTGTGCATTGTCGTCTTCTGCTGGAAAGGAGGCAAGAGGAGATGGCGGTGTACAGGAAACACCATGACGTGACTGGGTGTGAAGAAGCCCTTGAGTAACACTCGCTTCTTAGTTTGTCCTCAGCAACAGAAGCACTGTGCATCTTTTGGGTGCAGGGCTTGACTGATGGGGGGAAGTAGAGTGAAATATAAACACCCAGTGTCTCAATTCCTACCTCCTTTGTAGGTGCCCTGACAGAAGTGGGACCAGAGGAAGAGGAAGATGCTGAATCTCCCTGGGATTCTGAGGTACTTCCTGTGAAGGCCACTGGGATTCCCACCCAAGGGGGGTAAGGGGAGGGCAGGATTAAGATCCAAAAGCACTTGAGAGCTTGCCTTTGAATTGGGCCCTAGCGTGGATGGGGTTTGTTTCCTCTTTTTCTGCTTCTGCCATGTTTGTAACTGGGGGCCCTGGAAATACTTGTGCTCTAGGCCAGCTGTTCAGTTAGGATTGGGACAAAGGCAGGTCAAGCTAACGACCTGGGTCTCACAGCAACTGGCCTTTGGGTTTGGTTTCTAGTATAGTACAGAAGCAGTGAAGTTTCTTGCTGCTTAAAATACTCTGAGCTTTTCACAGGGGCTGGCAGAACTGTGTGTTGCTTTTCCACCATACGGCTCTGTTCCGCTGGTGTGGTCAGTGGTTGCCCTTAGAGTCTACAAACTAGACGGTTAGCTGCTTCTGAAGAGATCCTCCCTACATTTTATAGGTGTACTTTGGCCCTTTCAAAAAGTCATGATCGACCGAGATAGCACATATGCTGGCTGCGTTTGCCCTTTCAGTTCTTTCTGTCTGTGGTAATGGGCTAGACTAAAATGAGCAGGGTCTGTGGCTAACCCCCTCTGGCTTTTCTTGTGAGGAAAAATTAATCCTTCCTCACCCCCTTCTTAAAAATTGAAGACTAAAATACATTATATTTTTTTAAAGTCGCCTTAGTTTCTGTAAGCTTTGCCTTGCTAGTCTTTGTTCCACCCAGATCGCCCTTGTGATTGAGGGTAGCGATGTGTTCACTCACCACTGCAGGATACATGCCTAGGGAACATGAGCAGAAACTTGAATGTCAGGTTCCAGTTCAGTGCAAAAAATGGATCATCACAGACCTGCAGTCGTTGTTTCACAAGCCACATCTTGAGTTCTCATGTTAATTCTCTTTTGTGGCCGTCCAGTTTGTCAAGGTTTAGCAACATGACAGAATAGTTTAGATGAGTTGTGAGGTTTTTGCCCAAGATCTGAAAACACACACGACTGCTGTGGTTTTCCAATATCCTGTGTCTTGCTGTGTCCTTTCGAAGGCTCTTATCAAAGGTTACTGTAGCTCTAATATATTCGATAGCACGCTATGCAAGTTGGCTTAGCAGGAGCTTTTTGCATAGAAATGAGTTGCAAATGCATTTGTAACAGTTCTCATGCATGTGTTTTGGGTTATACAGACGGACTCTGGAAGTCTGAGAAAAGCATCGTCTGGTGTGTTGCTCCCAGCTGCAGACAGACATGGAGCGTGCTCACTGATTGTTTCAGGGAAAGGTGACAATGGTAACTTCCTGGTGGACTAAATGTTTGTCTATAAGTATTTGTAGGCTAAAGTGAACTGTTATCAGTGTAAGAATGCTGTTACGATGTGGGTGCATGCTGTAGCAATGAAGCGCTTAATATTTGTTAATTAACACCAGTTGCCACAGGGCTTGCTGGCCAATTTGTCAAGGAAGTTGTCTTGTTTGCGTTACGTGTGTTCTTTGGATGCATTTGTGTGGTTTTGGATTCAGGTCCTTGTTGCACAGTGATGAAAGCAGATGTGGTTTAAGACTGACCTGTCCGAATATTGGAACAGTCTTGCATGATAATGCAGCAGAAGAAAGCTGTAATCTGGCTAAGCATTTTTGTTCCCCTAGGTTAATTTTGATAGCTTTCTGTTGTGCTTAGCCTAGGAGCTGACATGTGACTAAAAGTTCAGGTTTTGTTGCTAATGGTTCTTCTGCGTGTAGTTTGTGACACTCTTTAGCGCAGGATGGCAGGGAAGTGTTGATATTGGGGCAGAACTGTTTTCTGAAGGATTTTTCCTTTAACAAATGGTTTCTCAGTCCTGCTTGTAGTATAGGTGCAATAGAATAGCTGAGGAAGCTCCAGTTTCAGTTAAGTAAGGTGAAAGCAAAACTTTACAAGCTCCTGGGAGCTTGTAAATCTACTTGTTGAGTAGTTGTCATGAAAGTCTGCTTGTATGATTCAGATTTTAAAATCAGTGTGAAAAGGGGGTAAAAGGTGATTATGGTAATCTTTCTAAGGCATTTCCATACTCCTAGACAACCAAGTCTATGGAAATCAAATCTTGTTTGGGTTTTAATGATTTTTTTAAAAAAAAAATATAAAAGCTTTGCTCCAGAGCCATTCCTCATAATGTTTCATATACCTCTTTCATGAGAGGACTCAAACTGTAAGATGACTACAGCAGAGGATTAGCAGAGAAATATAGGTGGGCCAGTAGATTGTGCGGGTTTGGAAATGATTTAATGTTGGACAAAATGTTTTTTAAGAAAATACATATTTGGAACTATGCTGTAAATGCAGATGACAACCAAAGAGCATTTGTTTCTTTTGTTTCCTTGCAAGCTAAACCCGAACAATCTAGTGAGAACTAGCTTGATTTTACCTCATTGCATGATGTGTACGGAGTTTCTGTGACTGCACCCATGCTTTCTCTGTCCCATCAACGGAAAGGAAAACACAAAATATGTTGCACACTTGTAGGATAATCACAGTTGTAGTGCTGTGGGACTGCTTTGTGATCATTCAGCAGACCAGCTTTGTCTTTTGAGGTAATCCTTTTGGAAAGCAGGATGCGGCTCCTGAAAAGGACTAAATATTTTGATCTTACTCTGTTACAAGCATGACCTAATTGCTTCACGAGAATTGTCTTAGTTCGTGGTGATTATTTTTTAAATCCAAGGGGCATGATGGGAAGTCTGCATTGTCTGTTTCTTGTATACTGATACAAATGCTGTACAATGAGGGAACTGAACGTTAGTATCATAGTCTCGGTGAAATAATGCTTGCAGCTAATGCTTAGTTGTAGGAACTACTAATGTTGAATGGAGTAAAAGGTACCTTCAATTAAATAAAGTAACGCCTCCCAAAACATTTTTCACCTCCAGGCTTTTTGGAGAAACCCAACAGTTCCCAGGTAAGCCTGTCAGACTGACCACTTGTTCTGCTCATTAAATAAAAAGTACATAGTTACTTTTGCATTTGTTTTTTTGTCATTGGATTGTGTCTTTCATAGCTGAAGACTCCTGAATCTGTTTTGGAAATGGATGAAACCTCTCCTAAAAAAAGGCAGCAGAAATCAGGTAATGTTCACTTCATGTGGTTCTGGGTTTAGTTTCATAATCTGTCTGGATAGGAGCATTTAATAAAGCATCTGACTTGTTTTGCAGATCTGTTGGAGGAATTTGGTTTAGGAGATGCAGAGGATATCGAAGGTACTCGTAACAGTCTCTTTGTAGTGTTCTTTTGTGGACAGGCCCATTGTACTTGCCAATTTTTTCCTAATATTAAATTAATGGTTCTAGCAAGGTGTTCTGGGAGCAGATCTCCTGAAATATGCCTCTCTGCGTGTGTGTGCTCCCTCCTCTAGTCTGCCATTCAACACTGTAAATACCCTTCCATGACGTAGGCTTCCTCCACCACACCTGCTGGTATCATACCTTTTCAGGCAGTCCTGAAGTTGGCTTGCTTTCCAGTTTCTCAAAAAAGCCCTTCCTGATTCTCCCAGTTCTCTAACAATGTGCTGTAGCTGATTCCAGGCTAGGAATCTGCAAGCTAAGCTGTCCAGGAGCTGCAGGTGAGACAGAAAGGGGAATTCTCAGGCTCATGCTGTTGCTGTACTTAGCCAGACTGATTACTTGCCTGGCTTTTCTCTACCTGTCTGGCAGTTGTTTTGAACTGTGTGGCAAACTCATTCCTCTGAGGCTTCTCTTCTTGTTTCGTGGAGACTGACCAGCAGGTTCAGAAGCAGGGGAAGGAAGTGGGGAAGAGAGACAAGGTGGAAGGAAATGACAGTGTCAGCATGTTGTCAGGAAGTCTCTTCTCTGTGGAAACAAGGCTAAAAGTGAGGATATATGACCTTAATGGGTTTTTAGTTTCTTTGTTCTAAGGTTTATTGATTTACATGTTTGTTAGAGGTGAGAAACAATTCCCCTTTCAGGTTTTCAAGTTTCTACAATCGGCTATTTGAAATATAGACCAGAGAGAGGTAAATAGATGTGTAGGCAAGTAAGTGAACTTGAAACTTCTAAGTATAGAATACAAATAGTTCCAAGTGCTTTGGCATCCTTGTGTTGGGGAAAATCATTGTTCTTTTGACAATAATAGAGAGTAAACTTCTCTGTAGGAAAAATATCACTCTTCTCCTCTTGCACTTCTGTTCTCTCTCACGTATTGGCAATGAGTAAGCAACAACAGCCCTTTAGTTTGCAGTGATAGTGTTTTTGTGAGGTGCATAGAGGTTTGTTAAAAGTTGCTCAGTTAAAACACGGGTTTTGGTTTTTTCTGTATTGCACAGTAATGAGAAGCGTAGCCCTGTAGTGGGCCAGCATGTTGTAGTAATAGAAACGCAGAAAGGAAAGTGTGCCTTTTCATAGCTCCATTCCTGTCAGCTATTTCTCCCGTGTGCCCTTATCCATTTGTGTCCTGTAGTATTTTACCTGTGGATTATCTTGAAGATCAGGTGTTTATCCAGCTTTTATCCAGCTTTCAGGCAGATGCATTCAATCGGAAATGCTTACTCATTGTGTGTCGTGCCGTATTCTTCAGGAAAGATGTCACAGCTCTCCTCTGTCCACAAAATACTCAGTCTATCCCTTAACCAAGACTGTGATGTCCATGTTACGTGATGGGAGTGATCAGATGCATGAAGTTGCATGCCTGTTGCAGTTTGTGACCTGAATGAACATTGAGGAAGTGACAGAAGAAATCTGGTTAGCATACGTTTCTGGAAATGGTGTAGAAGCAGTCCCATCTATCTGAGAGACTGACCACCCCCTGCTGTACTTGAGGTGGAGAGGCTTCTAGGAGCAATAGAAACTCCCAGCAGGCTTGTGTGTCTAGACTCTTCTCATTCTAGCAGATACTGTTACCACGCAAGAGGCTTATGTGCAAATTGCCAAGGTGCTGGGTGACTGTCTGTGCCGAGTTCTGCTCTCTTGAGTGCTTTTCCTTCTGTTTTCTGAAGGGATGTTACAAATCAGTGTGACATCCGTGCAGATACTTCTCTTGGATTTCATCACGCTCCAGTGCTTCTGGAAGATGGAGAGTGATTACCTTGAAAAGCCTCTGTCTGTTTTTGGATGCCACACTTGAGCTGCTGAGGCTTGTTTCTTTCTGAATACTTGGTATTTCAGTGTTCAGTGTGGCTTCCACACAATGACAATGAGTTGCCTCTTCTAAGTTGTATCTGGGACTATTTAAAGTCCAATTCTCAGAAGAAACAGAGGTTCAAGGTCAGCATCCCATAATGGGGAGCCCAGACTGATTGCTTCCAAGGAGTTTGCGACCTGTCCAATATTACATAGAAATTATGAGAGAGGAAAGGGTGGAATCTGGTTTTCAACAGTACAAATGAAACTTCCAGATCGTGAGTTGTTTCTCAACATTTCACAAGCCTGTCTGTCATTCAGTCTCCCATCCATGTCTTCTGCAACATGCGAGGCAGCAGTTTGACTGAAATGCTCAGTCCAGATCCATGTCTAGAAACAGATTGGTTTCATGCATGGATTAAAGCTGGGGCATTAAAGATTTCAAGCCTGTGATTTTGTTTGTGATCTTCTGTGTGCAAGACATAGGGAAACTAAACTTGCTGGAGGAATGTAGCTAGTTACTGCACGGCAGACAGTTTGTCAGAGAGAGGGCATGCACCTTTAAGAAACAGGAATGGTTTATGTGTGAGCATTGATAGTGATTTTCAGCAAATTTTTTTATACATTAAAAAGTAGAATGACCGGGAAGAAAGGAATTCACACAGATGGATCTTAGATCTGTACTATGATACATTTCTCTTCAGGATCTCACAAATTTGAGGAGATGTGTTTTGTGTCAAGTTTTTTCTCACAAATATGATGATTACAGATGCACTCTAGGTGTGAATTAGTAGTATCAAGTCATGCTGGTTATAAAAATATATGGTTTTCACTGTAGATGAGTACTCGAGATCTACCTTTCCTATGTCGTCATCAGCTGAAAAAGATGACATCAAGGAAGCCATTGAAAACTGTGGGGTGCAGGTAGGTCAAACCAAGTATTTTGAATTGGGGTCTGAATTGGTCAGTTGTGTTATACGGTAAGGTAAAGAAAACTTACCAGTCAGTGAATAATACTGAAGAGAGAGTCCTGTAGAGGCGGTTTGTGTTATAGTCCGAAGTAAAGTTGGATGCCATCTTCTTATGGTGGGGTGAAACCCTTGCCATTATGTTGGATTCTTGTTGTTATACTGATTTGTTTCCAGCTTGTTTGCTTAAATTTTGACCAGTGTTTTTCCTTTTGTGCAGTGCTGAGAAACAGGGCAGTCAAACGCTTTTTTTTTTCCCCTATGCAAGACGCACGTTCAAGTGAAGGGGGAGATTTGTCTATGCTATGCTGATCTGTTTGATTAAACGTGCCTTGTCTTCCTCTTTGTAAGAGAAAGATCGAACAAAAAAACTTGACGTTTGGTGACCTTTCTGATGCTTTCCGTGCGTCTGCAAAGTATGTGCTGGTTTGTCCTTGTTACTAAGTGTTTGAAAAGGGTTTTTTTCAGAGGTCATTCTAGAGGGGAATAAGGCAGGCATCCTGTTTGTGTTGGGCATACAGGACAGGGCTGGATAGAGGGGTCTAGAGTCTTCTGTAACAGCTCGAGGGACCGTGGAGGAGATTATTTCCAAGCACCGTGAAAGAGGGGCGTGCTTAATTTCAACAGGTAGAGCACAGAACTTGAGCCTGTTGGAAGGCAGGAGTAGTTGGGCAGTGAAGGTGGGAATGGAGAGGCTGAGACAGATGGTGGCTGACTGCGGTGCTCCTTCCCTGGTCGGAAAGGAGGAAATTTTGCAGAGGGAGAAAAGGGCCCAGTGTCACGGTTGAGACAGACCAAGCACAAGACAACAAATCTTTTTGAAAGCCTTGTAGTGCAAAAACCTTTATTGCCTGTTCATTTATACTCTCTTTCCCCTTAACTTTTCCAGCTATGTCTCTTTCTAATTGGTTCAGAATGTTATACAGTCTTAGCATTTGTTACTTCCACAGTTCATTATAACTCAGCTCTTCTGCCAAAAGGACATGTACGCCTTGTCTTGTAGTGGACACTTTCTCAGGATTTGCTCATCTTGCAGCTGCAGCTCTTCTTGCTCCTGTCTGTTTTCTCACGGGTAGACTGGAATCCTCTCAAGGTCAAAGTCGTCCTGTCCAGGGGCCTCAGTCCAGCTGAGATCCCCCACAGCCCGACTAACGGGAAAAGAGAGCAAGGAGTTGGATGGTCATAGCCCATTGGGGCACCAAGGCTGCAGGCCGTATTTAGAAGTGGCCACAAGTTAAGGAGGTCTGTGGAGAGGGAACATGTTGGGAGGAGCATGACACATCACAGGAGCAGTCAGAACTGTTGAGGAACAGAGCATGGGGTCAGCGATGTGAGGAGGCTGGGTGGGGTTGAGGCATGGTACAGTTTTCATGCAAGCTTGGGTTCCTGATTTTTGGGATAAGGGAAGGAATGGGCAGGCTTCCCTAATAAATGCTCTTGTTTGGACCTTGGAATAGAACTTGATATCTCTGAGTCTTGGGTGAAGAAATAGTCCTAGCTTAGCCAGTTCTCCTTGTGGTGGACAGTAAAAGCTTGTCGTGTTCATTCGCATTGTGTTAGCTGAGCTGGCTAATACAATGTGAATGACCATGAGGGGAGTGTAAAATGCCAGGAGAATGATGGAGGAAGGAGACTGGGAAAATGTAGGCAGTTGTAATGAAGAATGGTATTAAAGCAATAAAAGGTGAAGAAATAAATTGCTTTGTGACAAATGCCACCAGTTGCAGAAAGCAGGCAGGCTAAAAGGTAAAAGCAACCCTAATGTCCAGACAAATCTAATCCCAGCAGAACTGTTGTGTCTCAAGTAAGTCCTTCTGTTTTTAAGAAAATGATGATCCAGTGAACCTTTAATTTATTATTCCTTGATTATTATGATAAAAATTGCTTTCAAAATGTCTTATTTCTGTTACACGATAGGATGAGTTTGCAACAGAAACTACCTAGGTTAACTGTACTTTTCTTGGTGATCTTTCTGTCTGTACCTGTTTACTTAAGGATAAATACATTTTAGAAACTACCAACTTGATAGAAAAAACAGCATGTGAAAATCAGACTGACAAAGCAGAAATTTCACATCAGGAAGCCCTAGCAGAAAATGAGGACTCGCACAGTGCTGGCAAGCAGTTAAGCCCAAAACCTTGGGAAGAAAGATACGAAAGAATGTGGGTTGAAAAAGAGAAAAGGGAATTGAAAACAAATTTTAAAAACATTACAGCAGAGCTGAAGCAGCTGTTTGGTGAAATTAATGAAACTAGGAGAACTACTTCCGCTGTGGAAGAAGTGTCAGAAGATGGCTTCAGTGAAGAATTGAAGAGTTCTCATGTTGTTCCATCTCATGCAACAGAATCAAGTACTAAGATAGAAAGTAAAGGTGAATTTGGAGATATTAAACTTATGCTAGGTGGGAAGAAACCCAAAATGGAAATCGTAATTCCGAGCCTTGGTGTACTTCCTGATCGAAATAACCTAAATGCAGACATGGAAGATACATGGAGCACAGATGAAGAAGATGGCACAAACGATACAGATAATACAAAAGTGCCTCTAGCAAAAGGAGAGGAAAAGAAAACGTCCACTCTGGAAAAGAATGAAAATGGGAGTAGTACAAATGGAGAGGCAAGTCCTGAATACTCTCTGAGACGTAGCTTAAAAACAAATATTTTGGATGACAGTAATATTCTTCCTAAAATAAGACGTGTTTCTACAAGCGCTGAAAATGCACTTTTTGTAACAGAAGGTAAACTTGGAAAAGCCTCTGCATTTAATGATGATGTTCCCAGGGAGTGCCTTACTGACAGTAACAAAATAAGAGAAACAGCAGTTGTCAGTCTTTTTGCAAATGCTCAGCAATCATGTGACATGCTGAAAAGGAACCTTGATGAAGAACTGAAACAAGATATGGAAAGATTTAAGAGTAAGGTAGGAATGCTGCAAATAGCATTCCTGGCTTTGGAGCAAGAGAAGGTACAGCTGCAAAAAGAGGTAGAAGTTCACCTGCTACTCCTTATTCTGTAGTCTTTCTCCATATCAATGGTCCTGTTCACTTTAGCTATTCCTCATTAAGGGAAGATGCTTTGTGCAAATTTTGATTTGTTTTAATGGACATATATTAATTAGGAATAAAGAGAGCAGTGGAGACTTCTCCTTTTCCCCATTATGTCATTAGAAGGTTTTTGGAAAACACAGAACGCATTATAGTTCCAGTTTAAAAATGGGTGGCACTCGGTTCCAGTATAAGTAGTTACCACTTCGTTGCCATAAAAAGAACAGCACACAATTACATCAGTTCTGATTGTGAATCAAAGAATGAAAATAGCTTCTGAACAGGGTCTTGACTAATCTGTTCATTTGCTGTGATTTCTGCATGGTGTGTCTTCATTGCCCTTCACTAGAATTCCCATTTGCCGTGAAACTATCTCTGCTTGTGGGTTTGGGATCTTCCCCCTGCCCCCCTCCCCTTAAGGAAGCAGTAGCGCAGCACAGTTCCTCTTGCTTCTTTTGTGTTTTTACAGCTGACATTGTGCAGTCCTTCTAACTGTCCATCAATAACACTTGGGGTTTTTTGTTGTTCATGTTTTAAGGTGCACTGTTGTTTTCTAAGGGCTATGTTTTTATCTTTTTTAATCATGAGGGTTTTCAAAGTACTTTCGATGACTTTACATGTTGTAGTGTGATTTTGTGGAAATGCTTCTCTGTATGAATTTGAACACTTTTTTCATTACGTGATTTTCAGGGGTAAACTCTGAATTATTTGATCATGCATATGATGTTTCTCTCTTCTAGAAATAGTGAGAAATGTGTGGCGCTTAACTTTCTTTTTGTAGGTTGAGAAGGAGAAAAGCAAGGAAAGATGTTTCAAAACGCAGGCGGTGGCAAAACAGGAAGATCTTGATAAATTGAATATACTGGCAGGCAACGTTACTAATCAGCAAATGAAACAAAAGCTTACTGGGAGGGAGGATGACTGCTTGAAAATGGAGATCGAAAACTCTACAGCAGAAAAAGACAAAAAGAGCTTTTCGTCTGAGGAGAGATCAAAATTGATTCAATTGCCGATGAAAGGGTAAACTAAGGAAATAATCTCTAATTCTTGTTTGTAGTACTACTTAAATACCTTTTAGGTTTTCTAATATTGTAGTAGTTCAATTAGTTTCCCCAGTGCTGAAAACCATCCTGAG